CATGCATGTTGAGAGAAATATAAGTAGTGTGATTGATGATGTGTCATGTGTGGAGAGTTGAGATGTGTGCATGATGAGAGAGAATATAAGTAGCATTTTTCCTGCATGTTAAGATAAATAATTAGTGGGATGATGATATGGCATGTGTGGTGAGGTGGTGGTATGTGTGCATGTCGAGAGAATTGAGATAGTGGGAATCAACTAGTTGCGTATACTAGATGATACCCCGCAAGTTGTTGCAGATTTTCTTTTGGGCAAATTATTCAGCAAGAATTGGTTCTATGGAACATGAATATGTAGAGTAACAATAATATGATCTAAAACTGAAAATAAATATGATTTTTTGGTGTTTGGTTATTGTATAACATATATAACTATCATAATAGAATTTCAATTCTCATGCATGTTTGCATGTTGATGTGTATTTTTATTATGCATGGTTGCATGTTGTGGTGGGCCTTTCTCCATGCATGTTGAATGATGAGTTGGCATAGTTGCATATTGAGAGAAATATGTTAGTGAGGGCTAGCAATTTAAGTATAGAAGATATGATGCATACACAGATTTTACAGAAAATGCCCTTGGCGAATGGAGTTTCCAGCGAAAGACGTTTGGGTCCTGCGATAATTTGTCCCCCATCAACCAAGCGGAGTCAAGCTGTCCATTTTCCCCGTTAGGGTCCGTTGGAACACGGCATTCAATCACACATGACTTCATACTGAGGCTATGAAATATTTTAAGAGCTAATGCAATCATATTATAAAAGTATAAACTTAATCATGAAAACTGAAATATAATAATAACAATTTTATTATTGCCTCGACATATTTCCAACATATATTTTGGCCTATGTTACCCTCCTCAACTTTGATATCTGCCCATGACCTCTCATGGTGCATTGGCCTCCACAAGACACTAAGGAAAGGCTACAAGTGGCAGGAGAGACTGACATTGAGGAGGGTGAGGAGATGTGATGAGGTAGGGTCGTCTTTCATAACAGGTGTTCCATGATGCCTCGGTGTTGTTCTGGTGAAAAACAACGTAAACTGGGGGTGGATATTTGCGTTGATCTGACTTAGTTGCCAAAATGCTAGCAAGCGTCACAATTAGCATTTTTAACAATGGACGTATATGGCAGCAATGTAACGGGTTGACGTATGCTTGTGAGAGTCACATAACGTTATTGTTTTGACCGTATTCGGTGACGACTGCACGTTGAGTGTGGCGTAGCCACTTCAAGGGATGTATCCCCGATCACAATTTGTCAACCTAGAACCGTGTCGACAAACGGTCTGTCGACGTGATACAACTTCATGGTGATCCTTCTTCTTCGAGCAAAGCGATCGGTGAAAACATACCCGAACCCACTATCCAAATAGAAGTATGAAACTCGTCATTCACCCGAGACTGTTTTCGACTAGAAACCTAAACCTCAGAGATAACCTTCACGAGAGCATGCATCAGAATTGGATAATTTCTTTGCATAATTTTTTTTCATATGAAAATCATTAGATGCCCTATGCATCTGGACAGAGGAAGTAGTATAAGTAGGATCGATAACAATTCTCCATGCCTTTGCATGAGAAAGTGGGAATGTGATCCTTACATATATATGTACATGCATGCATGATTTGCTGCTGCTCGTACATAAAATACAAGTTTCCAAAGAGCTGGTATTTATATTGGCCACTGGTTCTGTGGCCTTATTCATTCACGTGTGCTGCTGACTAGTAGGCAGTAACTCGTTTGTCAATTATGAGTTCACCCTGGAGCAGCTGAGCCTGATCTGGCCCTGCGTCCCGGTCTTCGGCGCGATGTTGCCCATCTTGATCATGGCCGTCGTGAAGGCGTTGCTGAACGCCGCTGGGTTCGAAGCGAAGTTCCGGACAGTGTTGTCAGTGGTGTCGTTGTTGAACAGCACCTGGTCCGAGTGCAGGAGCCCCCTCTGTGACATGAGGTTGGTGTAGTAGGCGTTGTCGAACGCGTTGGGAGTCGTCGTGTCCAGGTTCGCCAGGCTGCCGTCACCGGAGCCGACTGTTTGGGGGCAGTTGGCCCTAAGCGACGCCGCATAGGCCGCGTTGATGTTGGTGTCACCGCCGTAGATCCGAGCCCGGAAGGTTGAGCACTGCGCCTGGCCGATGGTGTGCGCGCCCGATAGGGCCACCATGTCGACCGTATTGAGGCCGCCCTTCCTGAGGAATGCCGCCTCGAGCTCTGAGCGGCTAGAATTAAAGCCTGGAAGGTCGCTGTTTGCCTCCGCCTCGTTTGCATCTATGGAATCTCTTCTCCCCAAAGGGACGGTCCATGATGGCCCCCCGAGCTGCACGCGAAGAATTCAAACAAAAGGCAAACAAACGGTTAACGATGGTGTAAAAGATGCCGAGCATCCAGTCGATGATCTACATGATCGTAAGATGATATTCTTACAGCGACGACGGAGTCGCGGGCGGCGACGGTGAGGATGTCAGCGCAAGAGACGGTCTGATTGCAGATGGCCTCGATCTGCGTCTTGATGCTGTCGATGACGCCGAAGCCCCTCAGCGACCCCGCGTTCGGGATAGCGTTTTGTTCCATGCCAGACAGCAGAACAGACGCGTCGCAGCCCTGCACATCACATACGTATAGTGTTCAGCATTCAGCAAGCAAAACAGAATAGAAGACCGGGTACGTGACGGCTATCAGGCCATGCATGCATGTGGCCAACTTACTTGGACGAAGCAGTCGTGGAAGTGCAGCCGGAGCAGTGACGCGCCCATCCGAGGGTCGCTGCTCACGGCGGCCATGACGCCGCTCTTGATGGTGGCCAGAGCCCTGGGGCACGACGTATCGTAGAACGTCGGCGACAGCTGCCCCGCCGCCGCCGTGGCCAGAGCCACGAGCACCACTAGAGAAATGCAGGACGCAGAGGCGGCCATGGTTAGCTACCTGCACTTCTTATTGGAGTGGTGGTGACTTGGTGGCTTGTGAAAGAGAGTAGTGTATCGCATGCATATTTATAGCCAAAGATTCAGCTCACGTGCATATCCAGATCGCCCACGGTCTCCCACTAGGGATAGAGCTTCCAATATTTACGTCCCATTAGTCCAACGTTAGTCTCTAGGTAGCTCGAAGGACGTCGATATAGCTAGCCGTTCGATCGGGTACCCCGCAATCTGCTAGGTACATGGCATATTGGCATCGATCGACAAGCTTATTTGGAAGGAAGGGTCGCGCATGCATCCAAGGCTTAGGCTGCGGCAGCTTCCAGCTTGAGTCGCTACCGCCAACACCAACCTGGCCAACTTGAGCGATCTCTCTTGGAGTTTATCGCGCAGATATATGCAAAACATTGAACGATCTCTCTTTTTTCATCACTTCCATGCTCACGGACGCCTGGAGCCATGTGTGCGTGGACACCAACCGTTTGGCCTTACGTACGTACGAATAGTATAGTAGGGACGCCTGGAGCCATGTGTGCGTTGTTCCAAGGCGATTCACCCTCGTTTTGACCGGTGCGCAGTCATCTTGCGCTCCCGTCGCCTTCGGCCAACACGAGACAATTCCGCAGCTGGGACGCTGAGAGGTGAGCCTGGCTTCTTGAAGCATAGGGGGAGATGGACACCGGAAGATTGAGGCGGCATCCACCGTCTGTATTTTTTTTTCCAGAAACTGTAACTAACATTGGTCGAACTTTGCTTGTTAAGTCGGTCGTGTCCTCCGAAGCGGTGTACTCCATCACGCCTCTCATCGTCCCGCCGAGCACGGTCCAAAACCTCAACAAAATTGACCGGGCTTTTCTTTGGTCCGGCTCCAACAAGACGATCAGCGCCAAGCGCAATGTCAGCTGGGAGATTGTATGCCGCCCCAGTGAGTACGGTGGCCTTGGCGTCCTAAACACTGACAAATTTGTAAGAGCTTTGCGCCTTCATTGGCCATGGTATGAATGAAAAGAGCCCAACAAACTGTGTGTGGGGCATGAAAATCCGTGCACTGAGGAGGACCCATATTTTTATATGCTTCCACCACTATCACCGTGAGCCATGGCGCAAAGACACCATATTGGGACTCCCTATGGCTCGTTGGGAATAAGCCTAAGGACATCGCACCACATCTTTGAAGCCTTGAGAAGGAAGAATTGAAAGATGCTTGAAGCCCTTAAAGATAACGCTTGGATCCTCATGATCAAATAAAGCACTATCGTCTCCGCTGCCCACATATGGGAGTTTTTACTCTTTGGATGCTTGTGCATGATTTCCCTCTTGATGAACTTGTGGAGGATGACATTCTCTGGAAGCACTCTAATGATGAGATCTATTGGGCGTCCAGCGCATATATAAGCACAATTTCTTGCGATGACTCTTTCCCCGATGGATCCCATGATATGAAAGGCTTGGACTCCATCAAAAGTCAAGCTCTTTTCTTGGCTCACGATCCAACAACGGATTTGTCTTGAATGTTTTGCACTACGTAGATAGCTGCCCAACTCGAGTGAATTGCAAAAGAAACCACCATATTGTTGCCAAGGTTCGCACAAAACACCAGTTTATGAATTTGGGCCAGAACCACTGATTCTTTGCCTAATCTTTTACAAAAAACACTGATCAGTCTCTTTGGGCATTTTAACCACAATTATCACATGTGGGTCCTGCAAAAGCTAAAGTAGCATAACTCTTGATCCTGGTATTTTTGAATGGGCATCCTTGGGGCAAAAATCCAAACACCACCGGACTCGCGGGCTATGCCTACGGCCCAGGGCCGTCGGCATAGGTCCATTGCCGTCGGCATAGATCTATGCCTACGGCTGCCATCGGCATATCCCCGTCGGCGTAGATCACGTCAGCGTAGATGTGTCAGACCGTCGGCGTAGTATAGCCGTCGACATAGGAGCATATGCCGACGGCCGTGGGAGAGCCGTCGGCATAGTTTAGCCATCGGCGTTGTTTTCCGTCTGACGGCAACGGACGGCGCCGTCAACAGCGCTGGCGATTCAGGGGACGACACGTGGCGCATGTATGCCGACGGCTCGGCCGTCGGCATAGATGGAAATCTATGCCGACAGCCTAGTCGTCAGCATACCTGCGCCACGTGTCGTCCCCCGGCTTCTCCTGGCGGCAGGGCTATGCCTACGGCAAAGCCGTCGGCATAGATGGAAATCTATGCCGACGGCTTTGCCGTAGGCATATCTCTGCCACGTGGCAGCTCCTGGTAACTCCCTGGTAGCTCGGCTTAGGTGTATATATGCTGACGGCTTTGCCGTAGGCATAGTTTTTTTTTCCCTGTTTTCTCTTTTCCAATTCATTTGACAGCATTTCAAAACAGAACAATATGAAATTATGCAGAAATATGACAATTCATCATGTGAACATACTCAAGTTCATCTAAACATACTCAAGTTCACCATCATCATCTAAACATACTCAAGTTCATCACATCATCTAAAGATCATCACCGATGGAAGTTCATGAACATAAAAGTAGTGCAAGACATGAAATATGATAAAAGTAGGAATATGAAAGGCATGGCACGATGGCCACCTGCACGGAATCATCAAGCAAGAGCACCCCCGCCAAAACCACCACCTCCGCCAAAACCACCACCACCACCTCCGCCAAAACCACCACCACCACCTCCGCCAAAACCGCCATCGCGACCACCACCACTCTGCCAGATCGGAGTGACTGGGGTCGACGGAGCAGGAGTCGAGCCACCGGTCCCCTACATGTTTCAGAAAAGATTCTAACGGTAAATATGATATGATAGTGTTTCATGAACGAGAACTAGTCTGCTAGTAGTTAGGCAAATGTACTAACCGGACCATCACTGCGTAGTGCCACCCATTCATCGAACATGGGCGCGTGTGGGGGTTCTCCCGCAGGTGGTGGTGGGGGTCCCATTTGTGGTGGATCCGTGCGGTTAGTCCAAGACGCCAACATAGCCTGAATGTTAGTTAAACAAGCAAACTAGAAGATCAGAAGGAATGAAAGTGCAAAAATTTAGGTTGGTTTTAAGAGGGCAAAACTAACCGTCATCATCTGACGGTTGTAATCATCGTTTGCCTTCACTCGTTTCAAGTACTCCCGCACCTCGAGATTCCTATGCTCGACAAACTCCTTATATGCCTACATAATTTAGGTTGTTTCTAAGTGAGCAATGCTGAAAATAAACTGAGAATGCAAGATAGAAAAAGATAAAGAGGAAGTACTTACAACATGCTGGCGGGCTAAGGGAGTCTGTGAACGCCCCGTACTCTCTAACTGGCTCGGGTTGCTAGCCCGAAGCCATGTGTACGAGATCGAAGGAGTGATCAAGCCATCGAAACACAGATACCGACCATTCTTCTTCCCCTGGATGGCCACCACCGTCGTGTCGTCGATCTGAGACTGGGCGACCTCAGCAACAGGAACATCCGGATGCAACTCCTGATAGTGATGAATGTAAGACCCTAGATGCTCCTCGGTCTTGCCGTAGTACTGGCTCTCGCCCTCCTTGCGATGACTCCGCTCGCGGGCCAGCTTCCACGACTCCATGTCTGAGAGCGGCCTCTTTAACTTGTCCTCCTACAACGTCAAATAGAAGTCAGCCATACATAAGAACATGACGTAAAGAAGAACAAAAATGCATCATGCACATAGATATACCTTCATGGCCTTGAAGCCCCAGTGGTTCCTGTTTCCTTGGCCGTGTGTCCCGTCGTCTCCACGGTTAGCCCGGGCCTTGATGCTCTTGGTAGCAAACTCTGCATCGGCGCCGAGCCACCTATCCACCAAACTCGCCCATCCGTCATGCCTTCCATAGCACCAACGAGGAACAACCTATGCAAATTTTGGAAGCATGACATGTGAGCATGAAACATATAGTTGACTGCTTGAAACAATGAAAAGTTAGTAATAGTTACCATCATGAACTGCTCCTTGCTCAAGGTAAGTCATAGCTTCTGCGCTTGAGTTTTGGGCATCTTTTGTTGCAGGTAGTAGTGGTAGTACTGCGAGACGGCAACCCAGCGCACATCGTACTGCAACTGACGAGCTTTCTTCTTCGCAGCCGCAAGCAAGACCACGTCGGCTCTGGCCTTGTGCTCGTCAAGAACTCTATAGAGTTGCTGCAATCATGCAAAAACCAGAAGTAAACAAGGCATGAGTTGAGTGATTCAATGATAAACTATGAACGAAACTGAAGACAAGTGATTCAGAAGAGAACTTACCCAAAATTTGGTGATCACGGCCTTAGCGGTCGTCCCGTACTCCGCGTTGCTGCAAGCCTCGTAGTGGGCCCAGCTCGTGGCCAAAACCCGCTGCTGCGGGTCCCTGTCTGGCCGCGGGCAGAATAGGCCAGGCCAAAACTCCTTCAACAGGACAATGATAAGGCCGTTCGGTTTACGGCCCTTTCTGTGAAGGATCCAATTTCTGCAAAAGAATCAAATGATTGCCATGTGTACAATAAGAAAATGTTGTCATGTGTTGAAAATATGATTGAGAGGCACTTACTCTGTCCCCACAGGTTCAATGAGCCACTTGTGCTCCTCGATAGAAGGTGGTGTAGGTAGTCCGGCATTACCACGCAACCACCCCTGCGAAGAACCCGGTGGCAAGTCACCCCACAACGCGGGATCAACCTCCCCTCCACCCTCCTCGGCCTCCTCCTCACCCTCCTCCTCGGCCTCCTCCTCCTCACCCTCCTCCTCGGCCTCCTCCTCCTCACCCTCCTCCTCGGTCTCCTCCTCCTCGCCATCAGGAACATACTCCTCCTCCTCAGACTCAGAAGGTGCCTCTGTATAGGAGGGCATCAAAGAAGACCCTCCTATTTCAGACACGGCCCGGAGTTTTTTGCCCCGGTTGCCTCTCCCCCCACCTCCTCCTCCTCTAGGGGCTCTCCCCCCACCGCCTCCTCCTCTAGGGTCTCCTCCCCCGACCCCTCCACCTCCCTGTGAGGTGTCATC